TTACAGCAAACTCAAAGTTAGACTAATTTTGTTAACACGAATAAATGTTATAAGATACACCAAGTCACGAAAAAGATTACCTGGTAAAAATGAAGAATCAAGTACTCCGGGAGACAATCCAGCCAACTCTAAACGAGAATCTTTCACAAGTCGCTGATATTGTCGTTTGTTGGCAGACACTTCAAACAATTTGTCTACCCGATTGTATAGTAGACCTTCGAACTTGGTCTCTTTCTTCCCGGTTGGTTTTGCTACAAGGTCACAAAAGTCCACCTGTTAGCGACAACAAAAAACAAAGTATTAATAACCGAAGTGAAGAAAACGGAAACAACTTACAATAACCAGATTTAATGGCCATTGGGATGCTTATCCCGTCGGCAAGAAGATCATTAGCGAAGTCGGGGCACTGCCAATCTCCACCGACCCACAGCCACTCCTCTTGGAAGCCATGTAAAGTGTCGGGGACCTCCATTATTAGCTCGCCGACCTTAACTTTTGGCTGGGGTTTGCCGACAATGGAAAAGGTGAGGAGTGGGTCCGACACTTGTCTATCTGGACTCTTCCGAAATGTGAACATGCTCCTCATGTCCTTTGCCGACGGCAGATCCCACTTTTTTTCAGCGAAAAGTACCAGCAGCCCGATAATTCGTTTCCAGGAATTTGGAGCGATTTGGCATATCGGAAACTCCCAATCCCGCAAGTATTCAGTGATTATGCGTGGCAGAGGAAATCGCAAGCCTGATCTTAGACTCTCAGCAAATACGCCGACACAGTTGGGTGGAGGGCATGTGATCCTCTCACCTGGATATGGAGCAAACAATGTACCGACGTAGGGACTCGAATTCCACCCCGCAACATAACGATGTCGGCGTCAGTAAGAATACTGGGTTCACCATAGGATGTAATCTCAGGACTCGGCCATCTCCTAATAGGTCGCCTCCAAAATCTTGAGTCATCGATGGCGTTTCTTTCTACAACTTTGTCCCCCTCGTCGTCATTTAGACGGATTTTCAGCCGTTCAACAAACACTGGATCCCATCGTTTATACTCCGACAATAATTCCAACTCCCCGGAGTGAACCATATTAATCATCATCACGTCCAACTCGTCGTCACTCGAAGACGCCCAAGACACACTCATGATGTCGAGAAAGAGAAAGAAAAGTCGGGATAAATAAACAAAATACGATGAGAAATTCTTACCACAGGAAGCAGTTCGCGAATCTGGAGTGCTTTAAGTACGATTGAAGAGCGATTAAACTTGCGAAGAAAGCAGAAAAGATGAGTGTGAAAAGAAGATGCAAGTAAAGTAGATCTGAAAAAAAGAATTCTTATTTATATTAAACCCTGGATTTGAAAGCGACCGTTGGGAACCAATGGAAATAGGGGCGCGTGGATCACACGTTCTGGATCTGCGAGTCGACGCGACTCTTGGAAATCGTGCCTCTTAATAGCGGCTACGTGGCCTATTTTAAGTGACCGTTACCCCTATTAATAAAACGGTGCAATTAATTTCAATAAAGTGCACCGTTTCAACTTTTAAGTATCATTTCTACAAAGTGTGGAGACATCGGATGATGCTGATGAAACCGACATGTCATGTTAATCCGGAAATTTAGTTACGTCCTGATTAAAGTTTCAGCATCACTGCCCGTCTTCCGTCCAGACGACCATTAATGCTGGGGGCCACCTTGTTGACATCATTTTTAGTAAGCCAAATTAAGTGACATTGATCAGCCGATTAAGGTCAGTATGAGGGTAATTAGAATTTATACAAGCACGTGACACTTCCACCGACTTCGAGACGACTGAAAGACGAGAGATTCAACAAGAACCGACATCTCAATTACTTAACCGATATCTCATGTCGGTTGCCACATGTCGGATACGACATATCGGTTATAACTGGATGAACCGATATCTATAATATGCCATCTCAGCATTATAAGGCGGCGACATCTCAGCATTAATCATCATTACGTTTGTCCAAGTGGCGAGCAATCGAGAGAAGTGGCTAGGAGCCGCCTTTGACCATTCAAAATGTAATGATTACTAAGCAGATAATTGTTGTACGTAAATATAAAAGGAGGAGAAAAACAATTCTCCAGAGAGACATTCAAGAACAATACTTTCCAATAAATTCTATCTCCTTTTAAATATGCAAGTTCCTGTTAATATATACTGAGTTTACTTAAAATCTACTTCAATTAAGTCGTTGTTAATTTCCATTTGACAACAATGGCTACTGCTAAGTCATACGAAAAATAGTTCGACATTTGTTTTGCAATCCACCGCCATTTGGAGTTGGCCCCACTAATTGCATTGAAAAATACTATCCTTGTTGAGAGATTTTTTTTTACAATTTCCCTCTTATATTTTTACTAGGTGAAAAGACGAAGCTCGGGAGAAAACTCTAATCAGTGGACTACAAGGATTGCAGAAATTCAGCTTCCGATAGAGTAAGTTCTTTTGTTTTCCGATTAAACAACTTATTTTAATTGGAGTTTGCTAACATCTTTGAGAAATGCATAGGGGTTAGGGCATATCAATTATAAGAGCCCTAATGGGTGTTTATATTAGGGGTGAGCATGGGTCGGTTATCAATCTCCGGAACCGTATCACTAAAATTCAATCTCCAGAACCCTTCCAAAAAATCAGGATGGTTTGGTTCGGTATTCGGGACTATCAGAACGATTCGGTTCAGTTTTGTTCGGTTCTGATATTCGGAGATTTCTAATTATCTTTAATTTTTTTTTAAATGACTACCTAGTTATATTTTATTTTTTATATGCTTTTTTATTTAAAAAAAAAAAATCAACATTCATCAATACTTCATCATATTAAAAATTTTATTAACTTTAAACTTTTGTTAAAACTAAATTTGTGCAACTAACATTAAAATTTTAAAATTCAAACAAAATATAATATAGTTTTTTTCTTAAGATACTATTTCTTTATACCTTTCATACCATTTTAATTATAAGATAGAATAAGACTAAGAAACGTTTCGACAAATTTAAGTAGTGTATAAATATTTTTTTTAAAAAAGATATTTCTTTAACCTTTCATACTATTTTAAATTATTTTTTTCTTAAAACAAGAAAAATTCAATTGTAAATCAAGTATTACTAAGCATGAAATTTAAGTGAAGCT